GAGGCCCTTGTCCAGAACCTGGATGGTGCCTGGGAGAAATGGAGGCAGGTGGGCCCAGACGGGGGTAGGGCCTCAGCCAGTCTCAACCCACAGCTCTTTGGAGGTTGGGGCTCCTGCCAGTATTTATGGGATGCTTACTGCCTACTGTGTGCCCTAGCCCTGTCTGAGTCCAGATTGCCTGGGGACTCAGGGAGGGTGGAGCCCCAGACCACCTTCTCTGTCCGGGTCCTGGCCAGCTGGGTAGCAGTGGGCATGGAGAAGGGGAGACAGGGGCTAGATATCACCAGGGCTCAGCTCCCGGTCAGCTTAGCTCTCTCTGCCTTTCAAACTGCCCAACTCCTGGACATCTGCTCCCTTCAGTGTCCTGGGCAGCTGGTGGCTGTCCTGCGAAGGTCTTCCTGTCCAGGGCCAGCCAGCTCCTAGGTCTACAGTCCCTCTGGACACCTTGTCCACCCGGGCACGAGCTGCTCGCTTCGAGGGTGTGGGAGGCCGGCTGGGCGCGGGCAGGGCCGGTGGGTGCCGACCTCGGAAGCCCTAAGCGGGTGGACACCAGAAAAAAGGGCTGCAACTTGGCATGCGCCCCGGTGTCCATACTGGGGGCCGGTCATCCGCTTGGTGCACTGGTCCAAGCCTCCTTGGTGACCAGTTTTTCAGGGACCCTCGCGGGGGTGACTCCCCGACGCCACTCTCCCGGACTCCACAATTCAGAGAGACCTGCACAGTTTCCCAATGCCCCCTCCCGGGTCCCCGTAGACAACGTCCTTGCTCCGCCCCCCGCCCACGGCCCCGCCACATTAGCATATATAACCACGCCCACCCCACTCGTTTGGGCTCCGCCTCTCGTCCCAGGTCGGCCTGGACGCTTTTGGCCCCGCCTCAAAACTCAGGGCCCATCCCTACGCCCAGGCCCCGCCTCCACGTCCTAGGCTCCGCTCCCACGTTCGAGACTCCACTCCCATGCTCTTAGCCCTTCCAGGCGCTTCGGGTCCCTCTCGCACTCTCTCGGCCCGGGTCCCACACTCTCGGCCCCGCCCCACGCTCTCGGCCCCGCCCCCACGCTCTAGGCCTCAACCATGTGCCCTAGCCCCGCCTCCACGTTCCAGGCCTCACCCCCACGTTCGAAGCCCTACCCCCACGCTCTTCGCCTTATCCCTGCGCTCTGGCTCCGTCTTGCGCTCTCTGCCTGGCTCCCACTCCCGGCCCCGCCCTCACGTTTTCGGCCTCGCCCCCACGTTCTCTGCCAACCCCAAGTCCCGGTCCCGCCCCAAGTTGTCGGCCCTTCCCTCGCTCGGGGCTCCACCCCCCACCCCGGCCCCGCCCCCGCACTTCCGGGCGGCGCCGGCGGGGGCGCTCCGGCCTGGGCTTCGGCGCTCTGGGCTCCGGCTCCCCGCTCGGGGAAGCGATCGCGGCCGCCGCCGCAGGACCGGCCG